TACTTGGAAATCAGCCATTACTGCACGTTCAAAACCGAAAGGATCTGGGACTTGTTGTTCATGAGGATCTAGGATGTTCCACACATTGCGCTAGAGCATCATTAAAGGCTATAAAACACGTTGGATTACTAAAACGTGTTTTTGGATCATCCGAAGCAGATCTATTCCCCCCGTTTGCTATCAGTATACATTAGATCACACGCTGAGCATGCTATACAGGCTTGGAATTCATGACTGATTCGCGACCAAAAGGCACTCGAATATCCGCAGAGAACAGCAACCAAAATGGTCAAATGGTTACATTCCAAAACCTACGGTGAAAGGCTGCATGTTCTCGGACTCTATTCGTCTGGATACCGTTGAACACGAGGAGACACGATCCTCGTATATCAAATACTACATGGATCTAACCACCGGTGTAGTACTCTACTAGCACTATCCAGGAATGGTCACCTCAGAGAACATCCGTTCAACCTTTTGATATTAAAGAGTTGACTATGCTGCAGGCGTCGCTCTCTCAGCCTCAGAGTTTGTAATATCTGGAACTCTCTTCCACCTCAAGTTGTTTGTGCACCAACCATGGATTCATTCAAGTCACGGCTGGATGAAGCATTGCACAACACTTAACTTTTCAGCACCTCTGAATAAACTGTATAATTTGATATTTAATTGTACTATCAACCGAACCCCGTGTATACAGATCCTGTGGGATTCAACAAGCATCAGCTTTGTAATTTACCCATAAGAAAAATTTGAATTTGTCATCCCTGACATTGCAAACAATTTATTATTATTGCCTTACCGTGGTATTATACATCAGTACTTTTGCTTAGAAGCGCATATATCTGATGACTAGAATTGCTGCGAAAACAACCTAAGACACAGTATTACCGAAATATGGACGTGATGCCCTCTCTGTACACCCTCCCCACGCAATCCAAACTGTCTGCAGTTGGCGAAATTGTCACACATGTAATCCACGATTCATTCATCCACCAACTGGACGTCGGTTATTGCCATATAGATCAAGGTTGGTTCTTTGGCACAGCAATAGATCAATTGAATTTAACCGTTAATCACATTGCGATGTGAAATAACCAACGAGAAAAAAAATTTAGCAAAACCCTCGAGTCATGAGAAAGCGTGTTGGTTCACATTAAAAAATACCTCAGTATTGGGTGCATTAGGTCGAAGTGCATGAAACTGATACGATTTTGGCCATATAGAAAGTCCGCGAAGCCGGATGCGAATTGGTTGACCACCGTTCAACACTGGTTTTGTGTCCAATCTCCAGGATTCGCAATAGATCTCCTCACGCCAGGATCGAAATGTGATTGGAATGTGAATAATTTCACCTGGTTGCAGAGTACCTGTGAATAGTTTACAGATAAAAGAAAAGTTGGTGGCTTGAAGAAAGTGCATATTCAATAAACATGGTTTGCCAACCTGGGCAAAATAAGTTTCGTCAAGGCTGACATAATACGCTGCGAATTGCGAATCTTGACGATCATATTTAGGCGCTAGTAATTTGATTCCGTGAAAAAATAGTTTTGTCAGTGTGGTGATCAGAACAGTACTGAATGTAGGAATACGAGAGCCCGTAATGTACTGTTCAGAACTGAATTGGTTTCAACCCGAACTGCGGACACCAATGAAATACACGAGGAATTGATAGCAGCAAATGCTTATCTTTATTGATGGAATTAGATCACGTTTTATAGAGTGTAATAGTCCATACGATTGGTTGAACGAGCGTCCTTCAATCACGTAACCGTTTGTACCGACGCATCATATGTACTAACTCGGATGTTATGTTTGCCCGGTGTACCATTGGTCGAGCTTCCTGAACGGTGATTAGATGACATAAAACTGTACCTGGTCATGCATGGATTGCGGTCATGGAAGTCCGGATCACCACAGTCAGTTACATAATTATTTGCAGTAAGAAAGGCATGCTGATACCATATAAGAGGATCGGGGATCATCGGTGATAAGAGTGCAATCTTCCAGATAANGATAGTCAAGTCAAGTCAAGGAATCGCATAATATACCTCGAAGGATGAATATTGGGCAACTGCATAGCCATAGTGAGTCAACAATAAAAAAATGCGAAACTTGCGAAAATATCCATCTCGTATGGAGACACAAACGAGAAATTAGGTCATGTAAACGAGGCAAATGGATCTAAATTTTCAAGCGGTTGCTCAATCAGTCCTTTTTCTGTAACCCATAGAAGTGAATTTGTAATGCAATCCAGAATTGACACCACCGGCTCGGATCGTCACTCATACAGGACCAGACATCCTTTTTTCCTCTTTCCTCAACTGATGTGACCTTTTATCAAACGGGCGGGGTATGTTTATTCATCTCAGACAATGGTACCTAAACGATCATTAGTTGCTACAAGTCGACGGAAAACCTGTCGTTTTACGACGAAGCTCCCTAATGACAGTGACCAAAGTATTGAAAACAAGCTTTCTCTGTATCCTGTGATTTTCTAAAACATTTGTTGGAACCAGTGAATACCCGTGGTTACTTTTTGTTATTTCGTTTTATTTCAATCCAAAGCAATAAACACCAAGCTCAGAAACAAGGTGATGATGAAATCAGCTATTCTGTAAGACCAAGCTATGCGATGACGTGCAGTAGACTCACGATCGATACATACCTGGTTGAAAATCGAGGAAAAAACGACAGTGACCAGAACGATCCAGTCCAAATGTATCTGGCTCTTTGACGCGCTAAAAAGGCGAATAGGACTCATATTTTGAACAAATTTGAAGAAAAAAATCTTACTAAATTACGATATTTTATTGTTAACCAAGAAATCTTATTGAACTGTTACTCTGTATCTGTTGTGTGTTTTATTTCTACGCAGAACACAAAATTCCAGATGAGAAGCCGAAACCTCTACTTTGGAATTATGCAATCGATGTTGCTCTACCCAAACCTCATATTCATCTAAGTACAGCTGTAGAGTGGGCCCATTTATTTAGCCTCTGATGTTTGGGATCAGTATGGGTTCAGTCAATAATGATAATATTCCAAGTAATTGTACTACGCACTTGTTCTGGCACCTAAACTCTAGTTATCAAACAGATAATGATCAAAATTTTTATCATTTTCGAAGAGGAAACAGTTTTTCAACCAGTGAGGCGTTTTCACAAGTGAACCATTTTCACAGAAGAACGCCGTTTACACAACCTCTACCCTGAAACGGGACAACCGAGTGATAATCAGCTTTTCCTATGCATCCCATGCAGACAGGTCATTAAATTATGTAATGAAGGCAGTAAATAAACAAGAAAAGCTGTCTCTTTAAGAGGCTTGAAACACCTCCCTCTCGGGTGAAAAATGTTTGCATATTTGCAATACCTTCAACCTGTTTGAAGTTCACGCAAATCGAATGATTAATGTTACAGGTTAGCGTTTGTCGCCCAGCCAGTAACATCTGAGGGGACTTTTCAGTTGATGCATCGAATAAATAGTAGAACATAAAAAGTGTTTCACTTACTGTCCACTCGTAGTGCAAGAGAGCCGTTCCGTTGTTGAATAGTCGAAGGTATTTGGTTTGTTTTTCCGGATCATTACACTGGGAAATAGGATGGAAGAGATTAGAGTAATCTTACTGTCATGAATATTCGGTTTCTACCAAAAACTTAACAATGCACTGGTCTATTTCTTCTTTAAACAAGCTTCGTGTACAGATAAATCAATCAAATTTTTAGTAACATATACAAATAGATACACCGAGATAAAGCAACGGTAGTCCAGGATTTGGGATGCGTAGTGGACATGCGAAAAGGGTACTTGGACGCCTTCCCTTAAACCAAACAGTATTCTAATCAGGAATTATTTGGTGTTTTCGAAACCAGTGCAACTTGACCCGATTTCGAATGGAGATCAAATGAAACAGCTGGTTTCATAGAGGGTGAGAAAAGTCATTCGTAAGTGAACCTGGCGATGAAATTACTTGTAATGATGATGGACTAAGAGTATCAAACTACTGAAGGCACTCCCTGTTCGGTTTATAACGCTGTCTCATTCTGTAATGATTGCACCTTCAATCGCGGGCACCTGCTTTCAACAATATATGCCGAAATCGGACCCAGTCACCGATGCTAGCAACACAAGTTAGGTAAAACAATAAACATTTGCAATAAAACGGATTTCTCCGCAGTTGCACCAACAGAAGTCCATGGGAAAGAATGGGAGACTAGATAGAAAACAGGAAATAAATAATATCCACAAGAAATTCGATAAGGCCAGTGACTATAGAACTTTCAGTATCGTTACTAGCTGGATATTGGCGTAAAAATAGTTTTTTATGGAAGAGATGTTAAGTCTTCAGTCATAAACTAAGCAGAGCATGTCGGTAGCCCGGTTAGTTTGATTGGTCATCCTAGCGTGTAGGACTGTTTAATGCGATCGAGTGAAGAACAACGCGGGTAAAGTAGCAATAAAAACAAGCAATTATTAGAAATAAGAACAATACTCAAATGGGCTACTGTTACAGGTTTCTGGTTAATAAAGTAGTCAACCGATAAAATCAAAGGAACAGACAGATTACCACAGGTGTGAATCTGGAAACTTATATATCACCGGCTTGTCAGTAGGCTTGGCACGGAAAACTAAGAGTTTAATATTTTGCTGATAACATATCAGTCATTGAATCATGAAATGTAATGTAGAGTTGAATTGAAAACTGAAAACATTGTCAATACGGTATTGCCATTCCGCTTCTAACCCACCCTACTAGACCCGATCGATGAAATTGGTTAACAGCATTAGGTATTCAAGTATATTTTACTGGTTGTCAAAAGTCGGTTTATCAGGAAGTGCTCTCGATATATTTTTAAATGCACCGAACACAAATCACATTTGGGAAGGGAATCACAAGCGCTTATCCATAAATTTGCAAAAGAAAAGTCTTATACGGACCAATCATAAAAACACAACTGATGCAGTAAAACAAACAGTCAACACTTTCCAACACACTGGCCGGTTTGACGAGTTTAAATGTTATGTCGATATGAAGACCTCCTGCCATTTGGACGTTCTACAATGCAGTGAGACAAGTAAATTATTCAATCTAACGAAATGGGACGGAGAAGTTGAATTATTGTGGGAGCTTCATCATAAAAATGTAAAACGAATATGATGTTTCTGTTTTTAGGTACTAGATTTCTGTTGAAAGCATAATGATGGGCTAAGTGGGACGAAAATAAACTGATCGGTTATAAGGATACGAGAATTGTGCTTCGACTCTGTCGTACAATCCCTGATTGCGAACGGATAGCCTTATGGGATGAACTGCTCAAGTGAATCGATAGCATTCAAACACCCCGGATAGTTAATCAAGATAGAAGAATATATATGCTTTTCACAAGGCCTTCTACCACGGCAGAGAAGAAGTAACCGTGTTGGTTGTGGATACGATCCATCCCCAGTTTATATAACCATTAATCTTGCACTATTGTGGGTGAGTTGGGGTTGCTATCTTTCAGCTGCCCATTCGGTCGATCAACGACTGACCTGAGAGCACTATCAAGATAGTGGCACAGAAATAAGATAAACTTGGTGGGTGTTGAAATTTAGCAAACGTACGAGAGCCACTCATTCTTTTCATTAGTGGACTAGGTTGATCTTGGGGTCCGAACCACGGAATCATGAAACAACTTATATGGGTGAATTTCTTGATAAAGGTTTGCAAACCGCCATGACTTTCTTTGAACAACTGTCTGCTCCGGTAAACAACACACCGAGGAAATCTATCTGATGACATGCCAAAACATAAACGTATGTATGTGTGTGTACTATGCACACTAGCATGAATATTGTTGTGTAGGATGGCTAAATGCCAAAATTAAATTTCGAGGACCCAACTGAGTGAAATGAACTAGAACAGCGACATGCCTTTTCTGTATCTCGAAGGTGGATGATTTTTCTCATCTCAGTCCGATTGGAGTGACTGTGAACGAGCGCAATTGAACAGCATGACCCCAGTCGATGAGAACTCAATAACTTCACCCAAACCAATGCTGTTCGTATTTTACACTAAATATTCACAGACGTTTGTGTCACAGCCGCTGCATGTATATTGTCCTTCACATCAGTCAGAAATACACATACCGGAAAACTTTTCCTCAGCTTTTCCGATTGTTTGGAAGTGTGTGGGGGCTTGGCGTGAAGTTCGCAGCGAGATCACAAAGTGTGCCTGACAACCCCAATTATTCAATGAACATTATAACCCACATGTTAAACTACGTTGGCTTGTTTTGAGTCAGTAACAATTTTGAGCAAAGAAAAAGTGGATAAGAATGATGAAGATACGAAATTCGAGTGACCAGAAGAATCCGCTCCTTCCGGTTGTCTGTTATTCTTTTTTCAAATATAGAATAAGAAATATATTCATTAAACTTGAGCGCACTTCGAGCCAGAACTCGTTCGCGATACGGGAAACATTCCCATTGGTTCATGAAAACTAAGAGAAAGGAAAATAACATCAGGTTACGTTTTGCGAACGTCCACAAACCTCAAATACAATATGAATATCGCAAGGCTTGGCAGCTGGTTCGACCTGTTTTATTTGCCATGAAAAGGCCACATCTTGAATGATTAAATTTGGTCCGTCTAGACGATTCGGATCGAGGAGTAGATTGTCACGGTTAACCGGATATGGACAAGCAGATGACTCCGAGTTGGCAATCGGGTTATCGAGAGAGGACTGTTTGGCCGTGGAGTAGTGGTCCGTCTGCAAGACTTGGTCTGACTCGCCGATTTGATTGCAGTTTGGTCTTTCAAACGATATGGGGGCAGAATCAGGTGAATAAAGCTTGTTATTTCCGAAGACAGCAGGTTTGCACGATGATCACAAAAAGGAAAATGCATAGTAGTTTTGTCTTCTACGGACTCATAGACGGTGGCCCGGATTGGCGTCCCTCACGCTTAAACTACAAAACGCAACATTACAATAAGAAACATAGAAATCACAAATTATAGGTATATATTCACCCACGTGTGAATCCAGACTGTGTGCCAAACAAATCATGGTACAATGATCTTTATGACTATACTTCAAAGGGAAAAATAATCGGCGAATCTCTGCATACCAGTCATTAGTTTACAAATTTCATAGGGTGTCAGTTTGCCGATTATGCATCATGACCTTCCGATACAAAGAACCACGACAAGGCATCATTTACTTATCAATTCCGTTTCGGGTTTCCCGAAATTGGTTTTCGTTGCTATCTTTCGGCCGTTCAGGTAAATAAAAGAACAGAATGAAGATCGGAACGTTCAAAGCAGGGTCAAAGTGAAGACAGAGATTTCATATAGACAAGGGTTGCCGAAATAATGAATAGATGTATGAGCGCAATTGCTTGCGACACCCAGCCATATCACTCAGTGTCTCTGACGCCCGGTTACCATGATCTCGGGGTTCCCACCCA